TTTCTTTCTTCCCACACTGTCCAAATCATCTTGCACACCTCCACATTTCTTCCTCTTCGTTGGCACCAAGCAAAGGTAAAAAGATCAAAAAGCATGATTACTTCTGCTGGCCCATCCAACCAGCACCCAAAGATCAAGAAGAAACAATCCCACAACTCTGTAGTAAATGAACAAGAAATTAGTAAATGGTAACAATCCTCACCGTGAGACCTGCAAAGAGTACAACAATTGGGAGAGATACAAAGATAAGGTCTTCTCTTTTGTAGATTATCCAAGGTGCTTACTTTCCCATATAACACTTCCCAACATTAGGGGGAATAGGCATGCACCAAACTTCCTTAAAAGGAAAAGCCCGTTGAGATGAAGAATGACAAAGGGACTTAAAGAAGGAAGCATAGGAGAAAAGACTAGAGAACTGAGGTGTCCAAATCCTTTTGTCTAGTTCAGAGGGGTCCAAACAAACTTTATCAAGAAGGCTCAATAAGTTGGTTAGACTCCCAATCTCCTCATCCCTTAACCCCTTACATAACCCAAAATCCCAAATTGGTGCCTAAGGAGTTTCCAAAGGGGAAAAACTTTTGACACAAGCTCTTTTTTATACCGAGAGACAATGAATAAGGATGAAAAGAGGTCCTTCAAAGGAGCATATCCAACCCAAGTATCTACCCAAAAAAAAAGGACCAAGTTGCCATCACACACATCATGCCTAATAAAGTTACGAAATTGAGGAAGAATACTACGAATTGCCTTCTAAGGTGTTGCCAAAGATGCAGCCGAAATGGCTCCAACATCCCACTCGTTCTCTAAGTGACCATGAATATTCCTACCACCTCATGCCACAATCTCTCTCTAGGGACCATCTCTACAACTACTTCCCCAATAATGTTGTGTTCTTTTGCAATAGATTCCCTATTCCCAAACCTCCCTTCTCTTTACTTCTACACACCAACTCCCACTTATAGATGATCCTTTCTACTTTGCCCTAGTTCCCAAAGGAAGTCTCTCGTCAATTTCTCCAGTTTATTGGCTTCCCTAGAAGGAATCCTAAAGACTGATAGAAAATAGGTTCCTAAGTTAGCAAGAGTGGCTCAAATCAAGGTGATTCTACCCCCTAAAGAGATGAAATTCTTCTTCCACGATGCCAATCTCCTTTCAAACTTCTCTACAACCGAGCACCAAAAACTACTCTCCCTAGGGTTTTCCCCTATTGGAAGTCCCAAGTAGGTCATAGGCCAAGTAGATAATAGAACAATCTAAACATCCTACAATAGCCTCCACCTCTCTACTTTCCAAATTTATACTTGCTACACTACTCTTTTCAAGATTGACTCTTAGATTGGAGATCCTTTCAAAGCTTTCAACGAATATCTTTATATTCCTCACCTTCTCAAGATCTCCTTCACAAAGAATTAGTATATCATCTACAAATTGAAGCTTGGTAATTGGAACTCCATCCCTACGTATTCTCCAACCATTAACTATAATCCCCCTATTAGCCTTTGAGATCATTCTTCTGAGCACATTTCAAATATTAAAGTAAATAGGAAGGGTAAGAGAGGATCCCCTTGGCCCTTGCCTTACACCCAACAAGTTGGAAAGAAGTCCTTTACCACTCCATTAACCAAAATAGAGAAATGACAAGAGTTGACACAACCATGAATCCACTTACACCACCTTTTTCCAAACCCACGGTTTCTCAAGACTTGTGATAGGAAGTACCAATCCACCAAATCATAGGCCTTTTCCAGATCCAGCTTACATACAAAACCTTTATTTTTAGATCTTCTCATTTCCTCCAAACACCAATTAGCTATCAAGATGTAGCCTGTAATTTGTCTCCCTTATACAAAGGCCCCTTGGGCTTGGCTGATTAAGGAGGGAATGACTTCTTTAACCCTCAAGGATGGAACCTTAGCTAAACTTTTTAGATACTAGTCACCAGGCTAATTGGCCTAAAGTCCTTGGGGTGAATAGCAGCAATCTTCTTAAAAGACTAAGGCCAAAAAAGTGGAACTGACTCATGGGCTCACTATATGATTATCTGCAAATTCTCTAAACACCTCACATAAATCATCTTTCAGAATATCCCAACAATCTTGATAGAAGAAGGCCATTGTAAACCCATTTAGGCCCAACGCCTTAAACCTATCCATCAAAAACATTGTCCTTTTAATCTCTTCTTCTTCAAACAAACAAAGAGGTGGATTAATGGTTACAAGAAGATATGCATAAATAAAAAGTCATGGGTTCAATTCTCACCATTAGCATAATTAGGTATTGATAGACTAATTATTGAGGGTGATTCGAGAACAATTGAGATGTGACTAATCTTACTAGTTAATGGGCTAGGCCCATAACTTAAGCAGTTACTCAATTACATTAGTTGCAAGTCAATTAGGCCTGAATATTGTATGGTGAGGGACCCACAAAGCTCTCATATTAGTCTACAAGGGTTTAGGCCATGCATAGAAACACATGAGCCAAATTCACTAGGTGAACCTAATGAACCGTTAAGCTAATCAAATTGGGCTTAGTATGGCCCCAACACTTAAGTGTAAGTGATCTTTGGTCTCACCCATCCTATGAAGCTCAAAGATAATGGATTAATACAAGATATAAGCCCATAAGGTTTCAGCCCTAAATGGTATTTTGCTCTCAACCTCTCAGCTCAAAACATTTAAACACTTCTCACACCTCTTCCCTAACTATTAAATGTAGTGTCACTCTCTGCTTAGATGGACCCTAGGATTAAAACCTTTGCAAACCTTTGATAAAATAAGTTATTATAAATACAAATACATTTTGCAAGATGATTTCAAAAATAGTTGAAATCCATTGCCAACAATTTTAGGTTTCCATCATAGTGTAAACCCAAATATTCTCTTTATCTGATAGAGTGGTAAATCATATCACAATGATCACCCACTCGAGTAATGTTCCAAACTGCTCTAATATACCTAAGTATTTGACCCTTAGAGAATCTCACTGGTTGGCATATCAAAAGTAATCCAGTTCAAAACATAATGCAGCATCATTATCCATTTTGGTGTTAAGTGCAACTTTCTTGTTTTGCCCATATGTCTCTAAGGTCCAAGGCACTCCCAAGACCTCGCACATTCCAACTGATAATTTTCATCATTACATCTCTTCTAAAGACCCTTCTTTCACCTGTCTCCACTCCTTAACTTGAGATCTTCCTCCTCTCTCCCCTTCCACTAAACTCTAGGTTTCCCTCAATTTCAAAAATTAATCTTTCCACCTCAATTCTTTTTTTTCTCATTTCTCCCTTCCCCTCATCAAGATCAGCCTTTTTAATGCTCCTATCAATTATCGGAGTCGACTCTACCCCTTTACCCTCATTTTCTACAGCAGCCTCTACCTCCTTCCTCGCCAACCCCTCCTCCCTCCCAATATTCTCTTCCATGTAACCTTCCTTCTGCCTAAGCTCCTCAAAGTCCATCCAAATCAACCTCCAAATTCTCTCTACCCTCCCAGTCCCTTACTAAATTCAGACCCAACCTTTTCTTTTAACTCCTTATTGACACCTTCAGCTCCACCCTTAGATTTATCACTCCTTCAAGATGAGATGCTGGAGTATCTGCAACAGGCTCAGCACACAAGTCAGTACCAACAAAACAAATGGGCATTCATACCTGGGCACAAAGAAGGCAAAAGAGGATTATTTGGAACTTGGAGTTGAGATTTTACATCTTAGGCCATGTTCTCCCCTCTAACCGGACATTTGCAGTGGGATGGTTTGGGTTAGATTAACATCCCCATCTAATCTCATCATGAGAGGACCCTGTCTCTATATCTCCCTTTCTGGCCTACCTTCACAAACCACACGAGTATCCTGCCTCTCTGTACTAACCCCCATATGGCACTGCAATATTGGGACAGCTCCCTCAACAGAGGGGTGTAACTTGCACAGCATCAGAAACAGCTAATTCAACCCTCCAACGCTCCATGACTCTACCGACATCAATCTTTTTCTCTTCTAAAAACAGGATTTCTGTATTAAAGCCGACAGCTCCTCATTTTCTACACCAATAGGACCTGAAAAAACATCAAGAATGTGCCCTTCAGTTATCCTGAACATGCCTCCTATACAAGCCAGCCCTGGGTTTCCAAGACTACTGCCACCAGAATTCAAATTGATAAAACCTTGTTCTAGGGGACTCCAATCTACAACCAGTTTGTCCCTAACAGCGGAACTTCTAGCTACAGTTTCCCAGTTTCTCCATAAATCATCTAAGGAAAAGTCTGAAAAAAGGTCTGAAGATTTAGCCCAATATATAGCCCTGTTAACTACACATTCCCACACAGCCTCCTCAATTTAGCCAAACGAGGGTTACCGGGGCATAATTATTTTAGGCATCATTTAGGAATCAGTTAAATCTATATCTAATACTTTAGTTGTTAGATCAACACTTTGAAATTTGGAAGCTCTTTCTTTAATCCTGCTTCATATAATAGACTTGATTTAAAAATATACAAAGCTTTTTTTTGTGAAAACACAATTTGTTCTCCTCTCCAAGGATCCTTAACAGCCATATTATCTGACAGATTCCCCACCTATTTCACCCCTAAGTATTTCACTTTAAAATGCCTACAGCTAAATAACACCAAATTTTGGCAAACCTTAAAAGCTAGGAGACCATGACATCCCTGATCCATACTTACCATCATCCGTTTTCTTAATTATTAAGAGAAAAGAACTTTCTTACTCTATTATTAACAATAATCCTTTAATGCCAATAATTGTTAGAACAACACCTGTCCCACACTGAAGTGCATTGTGGTTCATTATTTTAATTAATTTAATGTTAAGACCATGCACTATGTGATGCCCATGTGAAAACAGTAAAAACTATAACCAAGGAAATAAGGTCAGAGTGTTCTCTTGAAAACGTAGTAGTAGTAGTATTGATCATTATCTTTTATGTGATAAACTACAATGAAATTTATGGAAAAGGAATTTCTCAAATAGAAAGAGGTACCTCTTCCAAACATTGCTTAATGAATCTTTTATGAACATCCAACGCAAACTTTTCAAAACCCAAGTCCTTCTCTAACAATCTTCTCACGCCTTCTAAAGTTAAAGAACTGTCAAAAAGATAAATAAATAATAAGAGAAAAAAAGAATAGTTTCTAGACAGTCATGAAATATCACATAACTATAATATCTTTACCTATAACAGAAAAACAACAGGAACTTGCAAAAGAGAGAGAACAGAAGAATCCCTACCAAGGCCAAAATGAACAGCCCCCAAAAAAGGAAAAAAAAAAAGAACTCGGGCAGCATCCACTCCTAACAGATTTCTGAATATTCACAAAGATGGTCACCGAGTGCCCTACATAGTGTCCACTCTAAATAAAATAAAAGTAATTTCTATGATACCTGAAAAACTTTAAGCAATCAGAAACCCGTGCGAATTTGAATAAAAGCAGTTGATTGGTTACCAATTGGATGAGACCAGTTGATTGGTTATTAGTTTTTAGGCATCATACCTTTTCGGTTATAATAGTCAGACTCTAAAGTAAATATGTGTTACATTGTAGACTCCATATGAAAGATAGATGATTACGTACACAAATTAATGGGCCCTTTATATGCATGTATGCCGGTGTTGGTGCACATGTGTGGGCATAGCATTGATAATAGTAATTTGTCAAATACTTCGAGGACAAAGACCCAGCCATTTGATGGATTCCACCCTAAGAGAGCGCATACAAAGTTAAGCATGATAATATGAATCTTAATCTGATTTATGAACTGTCCTTGGTGCTCTTCAGTATATGCAGTCAAACTTTTTCTGGTAATTAGTATTTGCAGTAAGACTTGTCTACCATACATATTTAATCTCATAGTGTTAATACATTTCAAGCCAATTTTTCAACTTTTGGCACTAGTAATGTCTATTTTCAACCCATTTGTTGTGTCCTAATCATCTCAATATTGAACATGGGGCAAGTTTGGGCCTCATATAATCATAGTTGTCAAAGCATCACCTGGGTGGCAAGGCACCCTTCGATGGGAGCCTACTGGATGCCATTGAGCCATATTAAGAAGAGGCCATCTAGGCAACAAGGTATCCACCTAGGGTACAAAACTAACAAGATGGATAGCTTACTGCAATTTTATATCTAGGCTTGCATCAAATTAGCATGTGGGTTGATATATTTTACCAGATACTACATAAATTGCTTATGGTTTATATTAGGATTTTACTATTAAAGTATTAATATATAAACAATCCAATGCTTTTGAGTAGAGAAAAATAAACAAGACAGAAGTGGATGACTGACCCCCCTTCAGTTTTATTTTCCTTTTTCTGCATTCTTTTAGTTGTTAATGGCTTTTTTGACATGCAACTACTCTATTTAATACTTATAAAATGTGATATTATGTTTGAAATATTGAAATTAACATATCTAAAATGCTATCATCTTTTGGATACAATGATTTATCATGCTGTGATATTAAATTCATTCTTATTTAGTAAAGAATTTTTCTATTTTCAGTTTGCATGCTTGGTGATGAAGAATTCTTTGTCATCCATCACCTTAGCAACTGCAGGGGTGGGACCTACTAGAATAAACTATAGGCCTTGATAACCATGCATACAATTCTGCAGGTTCTGGGTATAGCCATTGATGACAGGTACATAATTGTCAAGGCAACACCTAGGCGGGCCCCTACACATCTAGGCACTTTTTGGGGCTGACCTTGCCCAAACACCATGGCATTTATATATAAACTCTTCAAGTTTTATAATTTGCTTATATTTTTTTATATTTTGAGCTTATTATATTATGATAAGTATGATACACTGAATCACTCTTTATTTCTTTCATAAAATAATATATTTTTTATTAGTTTCTCATGTCAGTAGGCTTTTGATAGCTCTTCAAAGACTGAAGAAACAGAGATAGTTATTCAAACTTCCAAAGTCTTTGATGAAAGAAGGAAAATCAACAGTATGCTTCATCCCTTCTTCTCTTCTGGAGCAAAAACAGGGGTTCCTTTTTTTCTTTTTCTTTTTTCTTTCTTTTTCCGTTTTAGAACAAAAACAAGGGCTCTGCCCCTTCTTTTATTCTGGAGCAAAAACAGAGGCTCAGCTCCACAAACAAAAAACAGGGTCTTCGTTCCTTCTCTTTCTTCTTCTTCTGGAACAAAAAACTGAGGCTCCACCCCTTGTTCTCCATCATTTCTGAGGTTTTTATTCATGCTTTCTTTTTTCTATGACAAGAACAGGGACTCTACCCCTTCTTTTACTCATATTTCTACAACAAAAACAGGGGTTCAGCCCCTTGTTGTTCCATCCTTTTTTGAACATTAAGTGATGCCCAGGCAGGTGTCTAGGCGACTAGACGACTAAAAGCTCCCTTGTCACTTAGGTTCACCTTGGCACCTTGAAAACAATGGACAGGTGTGTCACCTACCAGAATATCCTGACATGTCAGCTTCTATTCACATGCACACAATGTTCCTACCACCTCAGTAAAAGGCATTCCTAAAACACCCCAAGTTTGCATATAAGGTATACACCTGATGCATAAGCACCAAACATACCCCTTTTTTATTGGAAATGGTTACTTGCATTAAAGGAGATAAGTTACAACTGTTAACCAGACAAAAGGAGATGCTGACTCCACACTTATCACAAAGTTGCAAAACAGCCCAGAACAAATTCTCCCTAAAAGCTTCCTATCAAAAAAAAAAAAAAAACAAATCTCCCAGAAGCCCCTTGCTTTGCCAATGTATCGCTAGTCCATTTTCTGATCTTCTAACCCACCTATAAAAACACCAATCTCCCTTGCTAAATAGTTGATTTCCCTCACAAACTGTCTATAAGTCCAGACCCCCAAGCTGTTTGTTTGTATCCATCCGATTGCCAGCTTAAAATCTCCCTCCATCTCAATTTGATGGAAGCCCAAATGCTTAGCCAACCTTAGGCCTTGAAGTAGAGCCATCATATCCATGTTTCAAACATACCTCATATTTGATATGTGTGTGTGTCATGTGGAAAACTAGCACTCCCATGTTTTATTTAAAATATTTTTTTTATTTTTGGATTCAAATGATGGGCAATTATTTATAGTGTCTTTTTTACTATCCTCATGTAAATATCAATTATCAAACCCTTTTCGACCAACACTTTGCCAACACTGATGGAGATTTGACTGATTAAAAGGGAAAAAAAAAAACAAACACCAATGGAGATTGGAGAACTAACACTTTATGGTTAAAAACCTTATTATCCTGTTACAGTAAGCTTGGAGGGAACATTAGAACCATTGGTAGGGAACGTTGAAGGATAACTACAGATTCAAGTATTTTATTTATTTTTTTATCAGTAACTGATTTATTGATCGTATGGGAAATATACTATGTATGTTATGTGAGACTTTCCAATTCACATTTTACAACAGAGCCAGCCCATCAATGCTCTCCAAACTCCAATAGCTCCTATTAGAGCTAAAGTACGTGAAACCCAAACATGTTTTTATTTTAGGTTAAAAGGCACCTTAGGTAAATGTCTGTCTGTTTACTCCTTGAGCTAATGAATCTGCAAGGGCATTTGCATAGTGGGATAACCAAAAAGCCTCTGCTCTGGAGTTAGCCAACTGTCTTTCTTAAATGGTTTGATGTCCTAGGTTCCATAGCCCTTCCACTAGTGGTCCAAGCATCAATCCAAAGAAATTTAACAGCTTGCAACCTCAAAATAGGGTACAAGATTCAACCAAAGGAGCACATGCATATACAAAAGGATTTCTTGCTTTCTTAATTGAGCCAAATAGGGAACTACCCTACACAACCTGCCAAATTTCTGCCTTGTCAAGGGATGATGTGGCCAATCTGAGCCATTCACAAAATATGGGATCTTCTGGATTGGTCAACTTCTTGATGCTTCAGTCCACCTCAGCCCAATATCTCAACATTTTCTAGTATTTTCTACAAGTAACATTCTCCGGTCAAATTTCCAATAACTTTCATATTAAACTTGCCCAAAAATCAAGGTTTGTTCTGACCACATGGCAAGAGTTTTGGGGCTCAAATCTATATAGACTGCACCCTACACTTCAAGCAAGTGGAAGGCCTAATTTCATGCCTCCGTGTTAAAACATTTCTTGCAAGTTTTGACAATATCGTCTCTTGCTGCATGGGCAATGGAAAAGCAAAGCACCTTTTCTTCAGCATTTTTTAATTAGGAATTAGCAAATTCAATAGCCAGCATTAGTGTTGAATGGATACCCCACCTTTAGAGGGTTGAGGGGACTTGTGATTCAACAAATGTTTGACTCTCCCAAAATACACGTTAGACCCAGCTACAGTGAGAATTAGATGGATTTACTAAAATGCCTACCATGTCAACTCTCCAAAATTACGAATACTAACTTTAAATGCCTTTATGTAACAATGGTCCAATCACTAAACTGTCCAATAGGATTCATTTGTATTTTAGCAATTTACACATAACTTATAATCCTTTCTTTATTAATTTATTTGGTCTTTTCCAACAAAACATCAGAATTAGGAAAACAATGAAAAAAAAATACAAGTTGTTATGCTTTTGGAGCTCCATGAATTTCAAAAAAATGATATTAAAAATTCATAATATTTAATATATAAATTAAATAAATAATAAAATATTGTTTATGTAAGATGTCTCCGCCAAATCCTACTTTTTTGAGTTCACTGAGTCAGACTGCCAGGCACATGTCAGATTCCAAAATACTGGATAACATTAATTGGGAAAGGTCCAAAATGTAGTTAAGAAAGAGTTGGTATGTCCTAGGCAATGATATGTGATTAATCCAGTGATTCCACTTTCAGGTGTGTTAAACTTTGATTTCAAAGCATGTTTCAACCCTATCAAAACTAGAACATTTCGGGATTCCACACAAAATCAGAGGAAATTTTATAGTTCTGATTTTCATTTTGATAATTAACTCATAAGTATCGTTAAGAAAGAAAAGATCATGCTGCATACTCAACTAGGCAGCAATCCAACAGAAACAAAGCAACTCCCCTAACTAGGGGCCTAGTACAACTATAGTACAACTATAAAGAAAAAACAAAAATGCCAGCATCAAAGAAAAAACAATTACAAATAGATGCCCGGCTCTGGATAACCCCAACCCAACTGTGTTTCCAATCTAATACCTGTCTGACTCTGACCTTTGTATTTCTTTCCAAGTCTCTCTTTCTTCTCAATATCTTTAAAAACCATTTCTATTTCATGTAGATTTCTCTTCTATTGAATACCTTGCATATTTCATTATATTTACTTCTGAAACCAGAACAAATGCAAAAGTCCAAGACTTCTGATGGAATTTGAAACCTTGCCTTTGATAGGAAACCTAGACTGCCAACATCATCTACCACATTGAAAAATTGTTAGGTTTATTTGGTGGGGGGAGCAGAAAAAAGAATCCAACTGATCAATTCAGAATACTTTGTTCCATATACCTTAGTTTGCTAGACAAATCATGTAGCAAAAAGTGTAGCTGATCCAAGAATATTCTACATGCCCATTCTGGATTGTGGTACTGGTTTTAAAAGAGCTCTGCTTTTTTCGCAGAGACATCATCTCTGCCCATGAGAGAAATTTTGACCTAAACAGCCTTCCACATGGCAAAATGAAGCCACAATTTTTTAATGGAAATTTCTTTCCTTAACAACCCCCCCCCCCCCAAAAAAAAAGGTGAATTTCTGGCTCCACCCCATATTCGTACATATATCGAATTTAAAGAATAACTACAGAAAGAATCTTCGTCAAAAAAAAGAAAACCTTACTCACCAGCCTAGTTTTATCCTCTACTTGACTTTCCTTTCCAGTTCTACTATTTACCAGCTAAGTTTCACTGTTTGTTAAGCCCGCCCTCACTATCAACTAGTCGAATACACTGAAAAGACTGCAACTTATCTCACAAATTTTGAACTTTTAACGAGCAAGAAACTCCATTTGTACCCAAAATTAAGATTTCAAGGAACACCTAGGACAACAAGACGAAAAATCCCAAACAATATCAAAACAAAATCAAATATCATACAAAAACCAGAAAGAGATCACATCCAGAGAGAAAAAAATGTAAGCGAAAAATAGATCATTAACTTCAAAAAACTAATTAAATTCAAGTATGAATTCATGATAGTTCGTTTAGTTGAAGAAAAATCAAAAATTCGGAGATGAAAAGTCTTACTCGGCCTGTTCCTTGAAATGCCCTACTCGTGCGCGCATAGCGGAAGTAATCGATCCCTCGATATCATCTTTCGTCTTCTCCGTCTTCTGGTCCGCGCTCTCGCTCTCTTGCGCCTCCCCCATCTCTCTCTCTCTCTCTCTTCTCTCTCTCTCTCCACTGAATCTCCTGCACAGAACGTCAGAACCTTTTAAGACGAGCGGGGGAACGAAGAACTTGTTCTAGTATTGCTTCACTCACCCTAGAGAGTAGATGAAGGCGTATGAGACTTCTTTAGTTCTTTTATTCAAAATTGATTCCGATCGAACAACAAAAGTAGTCTTACGAGTAGATCTCAGACGAAAAAATGGCACCAAATTAGATTGAACGGTTGGGATGTAGCTTCGTGTAACATAGGAAGAGTGGCTAGCTGCAGAGAAGGAGTAATACAAAAGTTATTAATCCCCGGTCCAAACAACTGGGAGATATTGGTCCAACCATATCTTCTTTTATTTAAATACACGTGGAAAGAACAAGTCATATGCTTTTAAAGTTGTCAAACCATCGCTTAACTTTGCAATATTTTAGCCACACAGATATGTTAAATGGAAATTATATATATATAGCCATATTTCTTTTATGATTTCAGCTACTGTTCAATGCTGTAAACGGGTCGGATCTGGTCTGTACAAGGTGGTATTAATTGGTCTTATTGATTAAACAGATCCGTAATCAAACCAATTATTAATCGGGCTGACCCGATTGGTCCCGATTATACTTGACATTATTATAATTCTTAATGGCTAATTACTTGGAACTTCATTTTTATAATATAACCTTACTAATTGATAAAATAAATGGTTTTAATCAAAACTATCTTATATATTAACTATAAAATTTATCCTTCTAAACATAAAATATAATAAAATTTGTAAAAAAAAGGAGTTGACCTTTATATTATTAACTATGGTGTTGTTTGGCACATTTTTCAGTGTGTATTTTGGTTTATTGAAAGCTTAAAAAACCAAAAAATAGTTTTTTTTTTTGTTTTGTATCGCGTAGATCGAAAGACCAAAGACAAGTGCATGGAAAGTAAGGTTGTCAATTAGACTAGATTTAGTCCAATCTGATCCAGTCCAATACTGGTCCATTTAAAAATGGACTAAACCAAGTCCAGTCCAATCCAAATAAAATGCAAATGGACTGGATTGGGTTCAATCCAATCCAAATTGAATCAAACATCCAAATAACATGAGGAGTCTAGAAAATATATAAAAAACTACAACACCTACTGCAATCCAATCCAATCTAAAGTGAATGAATAAAAGCAATTCTGAAAAAGTGTTTTTGTAAAAATACTTTTGTAAAATTGCTTTCATAAAAGTATGTTTTATAAAAGCATTTTTATAAAAGTGCTCTCGTAAGTGCTTTCGTGTAAAAGTACTTTTATAAAAGTGCTTCCATAAAAGTATTTTTCATAAAATTACTTTTATAAAAGTGTTTTTTTGTAAAAGTACTTTCATAAAAGAAAAGAAAGTATTTTTCTTTCATAAAAGTACTTTTCATAAAATTACTTTTATGAAAGTGCTTTTGTAAAAGTGTTTTTCACAAAAATGCTTTCATAGAAGTGTCTTTATGGCGACTTCAGTTTTGATCGATTTCGAATTGGACAAGGGTTTGGCCTCATGATCGGATTATTGGAAATTTGGTTTAAGTCCAATTCAGATCGATAAGAATATGGACCAATTTATTTTGATAAGCTTTGAATCAGATTGGATCCAATCCAAAACTGGTCCCTTGACACCCCTAACTGAAAATAACCTTGCAACTATTTTTAATAGCTCGGTAGACAACAACACAAACTATGGGCTTGAAAGATCTACTAGGTTGTTGAAAGATTTACCTAAAAAGACTTGCCAAACAGCCCCTATATAATAAATTAGGATCTTAATTGGTTTGGAGCAACAACGACCAATCTCAACCCAATTATAAATCAAGAGACACATACCAAGGAACAAGCTCAATTGGTTTGGTTTTATCGAATAGACCAGATCCATATTTTATGATTCATTAAATGTAGTATCAAACCATTTTGCGAAATCATGTTTATGAAATTAGAAATTCAAGAATGCATTTCTCGTTTCACCTTGGGAAAAAAAAAAAAAACATAAAAAACATTGTACGATATTTTATGTATCTTAGGGGTTGTTTAATAACAACTGAAAACCTGAAAATACTACACTAAAAAATCTATAGTTTTGTCTTTTAGTGAATAAGATTTGAAGTTCTTTATGGCTGAAACTGAAGTTGGGTAGACCACTATAGCCTTGAAAAATTTGTCATTTGATTATTATAACAAGTAAAAGACAAAGTAAATACATACAAAATTATACAAATACAAATATGTACAATATAAATACATACAAAATTATAGAAAATACAAGGTTTTGCACTCTACATATTTGTATTTATACTCCTTCCAAACTGAGCCTAATGTTTGGAAGGAATACAAATACAAATACAAATATGTACTGTGAAAATACATACAAAATATAAGGTTTTGCACTCTACAAATTTGTATTTGTACTCATTCCAAATTGATCCTAGGCTTAATTTGGGAAGAGTGCAAATACGAATATATACAATGCAAATTAAACATAAAATAATATTTTTGAAAACCATTTTTGAGTCTCAATTCTCTTGAAATCTTAAAAATGAAAAGGATTGTGCTGAAGAAAACTCCTTAGTTAGGGATGGCAATTTCCACCCTACGAGTGCATGGATGGATTTTAGGAATTCACAACTAGTATGGGCACGGTAGGATGTGGGTTTTGGCTAAACTCAACCCTTCCCAACTTACACATTTTATTAAAATACTCCTATGATTCTATTTGGTCTCCCAAAACGTGTTGTCATTTTCTTCCTAAATTCTTAGCTTCAATTATTGGAAATTTTTATGGTTTATTCATGTTGTTTTGGTTGTTTATTTCTTCCATGTAACATGAATTATTTCAATTATTGGAAATCATGTTTGTTCATGTTATTGTGATTGTTTATTACTTGTATATAATAGGAAATAACCTTGAAAAATAGGAAATAACAAGGAATTAGATGCAGGTTTTGGACCTACTCCAACCCAACCCATGCCCACCCTCAAATGTAGGGAGGTAGGATCAAGGAAGGGTTTTACATTTTCATGTGCAGGGCTAAGGGTGTGTACACACCCCATTTTTGTGCCCTTTAATCTATCTACAACATTTTAATCTTCAAGATATGCTCCCACCGACATCTCAGTTGACCTGGGGTATTTTTGGGACTTTCGCTTTAAACAACCAAATTAACTCAATCAAACCAGATAATCAACCTGAAACTTTGAATCCAACGATATCAAGATTGCCCAAACCCAACACCATTCACCCTCTATTTTATAACTCAGAGCCATAACTGATCTTGACCCTTTGTTTGGAATATTTCCGATTCCATGCTAAACGTTATAAATCCGACCTAATAGATATGTAGAGCCTAAATTTCCAAATCCAACTAGCTAAATGGGGTCTAAGGATTAAAAGCTGCCTAGTTAAATGGCCAGCCAACTAGTTAAATGGGGTATAAGGATTAAGGGGGTGTTCTTTTTTTGGATTTTGAGAGGGGGAGAAGTTGGTAAATGAGATTTTGGTTCCCATTGACCAAAAATCCCATGTTCTTTTTTCAGATTTATGTGGGGGCCAGGGAAAGTTTATTTTACTGAGTATCACTTGCCCAGGTAAGTGATAACCATCTCCTAACTTTCCCACCTAGGAGAAAATTGCCAACACTTGAATGGGACAAAAATGCCCTTTTAATAATAAATTTTTATGGCTAAAATGGCCATTACCTTATTTACATGAGAAATTAAAGAACATTGCTAATGCATTTGCCTGGGTAAGTGTTTCCCAGGAAAGACTTACCCAAGTAACTGCATTTACCCGGATAAATAATTTACCGAAAAGCAAACAAAGCCTAAGAGGTACCTAGTTAAAAAACCAATAATTAAACATGCTAAAGAAGGACATATTAGAGATCCTACCTTCCTAAAACTAAACTTACAACTATGCTATGCACGTGCAAAGTGTATTGATTGAATGTCTAAATGACCAGTAAATGACGAGGTCCAAAGCGAGAATCTAGAAATGACTAAGAAGTTTTTGAATAAGACATTATGCATTATGCAAGGAACACTTTGTTTCTAATGCAGGACTGATGAAGCAAGTGCCTATAGAATTGGATTAAGTGAACCATGGGGAAGATACTAACTAATACTAACTAACGCTAACCTGAACTAGGTGTCTTTCTTAACTAGAGAAATTAAAGAAAAACAAGACAAAGGTAGCTTTGGCTAATAAGGGCTGACCTAATTAAATGAATGTGATGGGACTTGCTATAACGCCAAAATGGCTAAGTGAGTGGAGTCATGCACATGATGTAAGTAAATTGATTGTTAATTGTAGGCTCAGGTTGTTTGAACACACACCTTTAAATGACACTAAAAATGGATGCTAGAAACTAATTAAAATGGGTAAGAAAACAAGAAAAGAAAGAAATCAGTTATAGATTACTTGAAAATTTTTAACTAGCAATAAACTTTCCATCGACTAATTAAGATGTTCAAGAAATAAACAAAAAGGAAAAGGAAACGAATAAATTCGCCTTAAAACAAATTAAATGGTTGACATATGCTTAAAAAAGGAACGTAATCTATCTCTAAATACATTAATGATCAAAATGTGCAAGAAAAAATAAAAAATAGAATGATGCAACTACTATTTATTCAAAATAATATAAGAGTTCTATTCAACTACTTAGAATGAAATGGATATTATTAAATATCTTGTGAGTCAAATTACCAATAAGGGACCATAAAGGCAAAATTAAGTAAATAAGAAAGAAGAAAAAAAAATGTCATACCTCACAGGATGAATGGAAGTATTCTCAACCAATCCTTACTTTAGTGTTAACTTTGGTCCTTAAAAATTCTTCATGTAGTTGATGCTATGGTGGGATCAATCTCTTGCAGGTATTCACATGGTTGGAAATTTGGCCCAATTGATATAGAAAGGATGCTAGGTCTTCAACAATTCTGCAATAACTTTAGACTTCAAGAATGTTTCAGATTTCTTCTTCAATGGAGCTTGACCTAGGAGGTTCTTGAACTTCAAACACGTATGGGGGAGTCTAGAGATTTTGGAAAGTGAGTGAGCAAGTCTTGGGATGTAAAGTTGGGTATTCTCTAGGCTAATGGGGCTAGAGTTCTCTCCTTAAGCAAGATTGTGTGTCCTTGAGTGTGAGACAGGGGGGTGTCAGCACCCAATTTTTGCTCGGTCCCTTCACCCTACCTCTTTGTACCCTTCTCTTATACTCCAAAAACTTGGAAATACAACCAGATCAATTTGAGACTTTCCAAAACCTAAAATACACTCCTCTAACACAATCCACAAGACCAATAAGAACCTTGAGATCAATATCAACGTCTGATTAGAATCATCCTCCGACCCGAAAACTACAACTTAATTATACATCAGTTTTTATAACTAACTACAAAGATCCACTATTCATCACATCAACTTCATTTCTAATGGCCCCAATCTATGTGATATTCAAATTCCAATTCTTCAAAATCAAATCCAATACACCCATCATCCTAAGATCACTAGGAAACAAATCAACTAGCAAATTCCACCACAAATCTATGATGATCAATCGTAAAAACACCAACATCCCATTTTGGTGGCCCTAAACGATTGTCAAGATTGACCATATCTTTCTTAGATCAGAATCATTCACTTGACTACTCACCCTAATCCATGCCTACCTACCAAGTTGTAGCTCAAAATTCCCTCATTTGACCACCTCATCAAGCCTAAATCTTATTTTAGGAAATCTCATTAACTAGAGCTTACCGTCCGTTATCCCAACTTCATATGATCAATTAGACATTACCACTGTGTTCGAGGACCCAAAAAACCCCAGCACATCAAATTTCATGACCAAATACCTCCATTCTACCGTTGAAAAAGTAAAATTCCATTTTAGGCCCTCTTATTGATTGGAAAACCATAAAAAGACCATGATTTGAACTAAATCAGTCAATCTCCACTTCTAATCAAAGATCTATCACTTCCATTAGATTTATGATGATTAAAAGTGCCAATCCACCAAATTTCATCCAAAAATTCCCCCATTTGGCCCTTCATCAAACAAATATTCTATTTCAACAAATTTCGTTGATCCAAACTTCTCAGCCATAGATTTCAATGATCATCACCCCATTTGACCAATCAAACATAACCATTGCATTCAAAGACCCAAAAAACCCTAGCATGCAAAATTTCATGATCAAATTCATTCGTTTAACCGCCAACTTAAAAATATACCATTTTGATGTACCATATTAAATCGCCATATCATCTGTCCCAACTTGAAGCCTCAAAAGGGTGATGGCTGATGTTAGACCCATTCTTGACTCATTAGAACTATTAAACCAATGAAACAGAACCTAATAGACTCAAAATGCCACAAAACCCCAAGATATCACTACTTAAAACCAAGAAAAGACAAAATAACATTTAAAAGTTCATCAAATTTTACATTTTCTACCACTAATAGCCCCAAATACGAAACTGCCATGTAAAAGCTTGATTAGGCATGAAAACCACTAACAACCCCAAACAAAGAAACAGACATGCCCCAAACTCTCATTGGACGTACAAAAACCATGAAAACCACCCCCAAATCAAAGAAAATGTTTCATCAAATAAGAAAACTTGACTGAACATATATTTCTTTGAAAAATCTTTGCCTATTTGTGAGAAAAAGTTGTTGAATCTCAAGCATTGTAACTGAACGAATTCAGACCTGACTCCCTCCCTTTCTCTGTAAATATTGATCTAATTCAAGCTCAAAAGGAGGAAGAGGGAAAAACTAGAGAAGAGAAAACGAGAAAGAGAGAAAACTTGAGGGAGGCCCAGAGAGAGACAATATTAAATTTGCAAGAGGATGTGAGAAACACAAACACTCATAAAGCCATAATGGATTGGGTTTCCCAAGTAATTCCTTACGATTGGTGCTCGCTCTGTTTTCTCTGCATATTTCTCCGAGTTCGGCTTCAGTCCAGGCACCCTTGGTCAAGGCACCGTTCGCGCATTCGGAGGACGCGCCACGCGTCTCCGAATACAATCATCCGCCCTCCTCTCCTCTCCTTTCCTCTCGCAGATGAGGCATCTCTCCTCCCTCTCTCTCTCCCCATCCGCCCGGCGGCGATTATAAAACTATCACCGCCGGCGACTATAAAATTATCATCGCCGGCGATGAACAATCATCACAGGCAGCGGGATCAACCTCAAGTATTGTTTTCTATGCATTTCTTCTTCTTTGTTGCATCTCTTCTTCTTTTTATGGGCTGGAGTCTTTGTCCATCAAGAACACCGGTGATCTCATCGACTCTGGTTTGGTTTGCTGGCCATCTCCCGTGGCTGCCCAAAACTGGCCAAATTCGAGGTTCAAGACTGTTCTAGCATCACACAGACGGGAATGAGAAACTTGGCTGGCATGCTCCAGAAAACGCTGGTTGATGTGAACATCTCCTGCTGCAAAAACCCCGATGCTGCATCCTCACTGCGAGCTCTGGTGCCAATCCGGGAGAGGATCCAGCGGTTGCACATAGATTGTATGTGGGACAGCCTACAGTAGTCCGAGATTCCTAGCGATAAGTCCGCCTCTCTACATGCTTTCGACCTCAATGAATCTGCGGAGGAAGCCAACACATCCAATTGCTCTGCTGCTGGGTTCATGAATGATAGTCTCAAGAAGAAGACTGCTACTCCCCCAGAGGGCAGAGGAGGAACTGCTCTATTTCACTCCACCCCTTCATCTCATCATCCGAGGCTCTGAAGCAGAGCTACACATTCTTGACAATCACACCACAAGCAATAGCAAATACCCTCCTCGCTCGCCGAAATAGTTTACACTTCAACTGCTATTACCGGTGCTCTTGATGGGGGAATCCCTTGAGACTTTGAAGTCTCAATCTTTGAATTTTCCTCGGCCACGACTAGCCGAGTGAGAAGCAGTCCTGCCACAAGAGCTGCTGCCATCAGCATTGTGAACACTGCATTCCAGCACGATACTCTTCAATCTGCCTCATGAGCTCGTCGACCGCCTTCTAAGTTGTAACGCCGCAACGTTATAGGCAGTGGCTGCGAAATTCACTTCGCACGTTTTCATCACGCACACGATTCAAGGACGCGTGGCGCGTATTCATGCTGCACGAACGTTGCGCGCATCAACTCTGCCTGAAGAGAAGCCGAACTCTATTTCTCCACCCAAGATTGGAACAGTTGGAGGAAGGAAACAAAGTCTCTTGAACGTTATCGATCGCCCGTTAAGTTGCTCGTACATACGAATCTTTCAACTCATATGATGCTGACATCGCACAATCCAAGAGGTTGTGAGACTCGGTGTCGGGTGTTATCCTTGATTCCACAGTCCGCCATACAGCCATCATGTTGGGCTAATCCTAATAGGGAAAGTAAATGAGTCAAGATATTTTTTTTTATCACATTAAAATTAGTTAATAGAGGCTAGTTGGTCAATTTTTTTTTTTTTTTTTTATCCGCCTAAAAGGCAAGGATCAAAGCTCAGAGTACAATCATTTTTTTGATAACAAGACGAAAGAAAATCAGGTACCCTAGTCCATAGTGAATGTTTAAGGGATAAGGAGAGCGCGCTTGGCCAATAAATGGTGGACCATCTGATTACCTGAACGGCTGAACGTTATAGTGAAAATAACTGAACAGTGAGGGATTCTTCTCATTAGTGCCCTGCAGTTAGCGATATGATTGATAATTTGCCAAGGAGTTACCATTGGTGGTCTCCGCCAGGGATTGAATTACTGTTAGAGCATCTCCCTCAATGATGACGCGGTGAAGCTTGAGGTCCAAATTAAAAAATAAAAATGACACATGTGGACCATTTCTATCATGGTCACTCACTAACATGGAAGGTATTGTACATGTTATAAATAAAACTGCCTAACAGTAACAGGGAGCCCTCTGGAAATAAGCCTCTGGCCGGCCCAAGAATGATCACCATTGAGTTACTAGGATCATTGTACCATAGTTCTTGGCCTCTGGCTGATTAAATTGGTATCTCATTATGGGTGCATCGTAATGATTTTTTTTCTAAGATTTCTATCCATTGATATACATCGGCTATATAGAGTATTAGGATCATAGTACTTATTTTCCTCCTTGAAATGTGGTACAAAAACATGCTTCACGGTATTAACGCTAAAAGAGACTGTAGGCTGCACATGTTGCACATGGAAACTATAAGCAGTAAGCCTGTATTTGCAAGATTTATAGTAAGTTTACAAAAGAATCGAGATCCAAATAAAGCTTGTTGTGTAACATTTACAGCTTACAAATTCTTGTGGCATCAGTACTGCAAAACATGTTTCTATACTGTAGAATCTCTATTTTTTCATACAGCTAAAGGAAAGATGTAGTAAAAAAAAAAAGTTGAACCACACACACACACACATACATACAGAACTTAAATATAGATAAAAAGAAGTTGAAGTATCACAAAAGTCAAGATGTAATGTCTTCCCATTACAAGCTTAAAACATGAAAATTGATCAACTTCAACTCCAAATTTCAGAAGAACAATATTCCAAGACTTGGGGAGGCTTGAGGAAATGCTTGTAGTTTCTCACTAAATTTTTCCTTGATGCCACTTGAAGAAAATCTCGTAGAGGTAACAATAATCATTTCCTCTAGTGTCATTGCATTCTTCATCAAAAATTTTAGAAACCTGAGTTCATTCTCAATTCCTTGAAGATTTCGCATCTCTACAGATTTGAGGTGACACAGCATGCATTGAAATGGTAACTCTGCCTCCCAATTGTCTTCAATGATTTCTGAGTCAAGCTTCGTCTAAACAAGGACCAGAATGTCACCAGACAAATAACAAGTGAAAATTGATGGTTGTACAGGCAACTACACTGAAAATTAGTGAAGTAAACAACTGACTTACTAAAGAAGGAAAAAGTAAAAAAGAAAAAAATGTAATGACTGGAATCTGAATGGGCTCAATGTTTACCTCATCAAAAAATAGTTGTTGCTTTTCGTACCCAGTGTAACTTTTCTAGACAATAATAAAAAACTGAAGGTCATAAAAAGGATATCTAATTGATAGAACTTAAGCTATTTCATGAACTGTTTAAATAAATTGAAATTAATTCTTAGGTCCAGTGGATACCACAGATGTTTCCAATACGAGAGTTTCTATATTAGGGGAGCACTTGAGCAAGTATGCTATAGCACGTATACAATCTCTAGACAGCCATGTTTTCAGCCTCAGATACCTCAGATTACAGAATGGAGTGGGTAGACACTCTAATACGTATGATGGGGCTTCAGAGATCATCTTGTCACATTAAGAGAAAAAAGTATAAGTCATTCAAATAATGTTGTAATTGCATGACAATCATTTCAGAGAAAACATTTTATGATATTTTCTATGAACATATAATAGATTTCGGCTGAAAACTGATTACCTTTGTCCAAATCTGAATTTGAATCCAATCTGGCTAATGATGATCCAAATTTGATCCAGGAATATTTACACATTTATATTTATGCTTATATTTGCATAAAATTAATATGTATATATGATCCAACCTAATTCCAATGGATAAGATTTGAAATAAATTTAAATATTTATGAACCAGTCTTTGTGTCCAAATAATCCAGTCCTTCTGCATTTTGCATTCTTAAAATAGGTTTTAACATATAGAAGATAAGAAACATACCTCAAGCAAGTAAGCAGATAATGTCAGTGATTTTGCATTACTCAGTCCTCTAAGGCATTTTATCATACGCTGAGCATATATTTGCTTCCGCTCACTAGGAGGCTGTCCAATTTCTTCAAAAGCACGGCTTTCTTCTACTTTCATATCAAGCTCTGCACTGATAAGGCCAGATAGGTTTCCTAGAAAATACTCTTTCGACATATAATCAACACACTTTAAATATGTGAGATTTGGTGCCCATATGTTGATCTTACAGTCATCCAAACCAGAATGATCCATGAAACACGCTTCTATAACCAACTTCTTAAGTTGACGAGAACAAATAATGACATTCTTAGCATACTTAAGTTGGCACATGGTTAGGATCAAAGTTTCCAGGACTGGACAGCAAGATAAAATTTTGGTAATCAATTTCTCATCCAGATTGACTAATTCAAGATGCAAAGTTTTGAGCTTTGGTAAATTAATTGAATCAGGAAGTCTCAGCTCAACTGGCACATAATCCATATCCAACTTCAAGACCCTCAATGATTTACATGTGAATAGGCAGTCAGGCAACTCAAGGAAATCTTTGGGTCTAATTTTGAGATAGAACTCTTGAACATTACGCCTTACTGCAACAAGGACCCATGAATTAACACGATTTACATCGCAGTACCATCCACAGGATATATGGAATTTTTGTATATCAGAGCTGTTGCGGAGAAGTAGCACACGGTCCACAAAATCCATAAAGCCATTTTCTGCCTCATCTCTTCCCCCAGTTCTTGAAAGAAAATAAAGATGGTCAAATTCTAGATTGGGCAAAGAAGTCCATAGATATCTCCATCTTCGTGACAAGAAACTGGTTCTTACAACATATCTCATATCCAAGAAAGAAAGAATGTGATGGAGAATTTTTTCTGGTAAACTACTGAGCCTGTCACCATTCTCTATCATGTCCCTTACATCCCAAGTCTTTGACTTCTTAGCAGCACTATAACATGGTAGCTTGCTTGCTCTCATATTCCTGTCACCTAGGAAAGGAAAGGGTAAATCTAATTCATGCTAGAAAGAATGTATCCTGACTCATGTACTTTGAAAAATATTGCCAAAACTCAAACGGCCCGTAACCTCTCTCATTACTAACTTGAGTGGTCCACAATATGTAAATAAACAAGATTTTATATTTCATAGGCTGCATTTTGATGTACAAAAGTGAAGTACAGCACATTGCATCAGAATATAGAAGTACAACAAATAAAGTGAAATGATATGGACTATTCAGGTGTGCTAACAGAAAGTGTTCTTAACAAAACCCAACCTGGCAAACAACCAAATCAGAGCTAAGGACAACTCCTCCAGAAAATCTTTCTCCAACTTGCATATCGTACCACATTGTTGCTATAAGACAAATGGGTAGGTAAAATCTTCAAATTCCTGAAGAAATCAAATAGCCAGATGGCCTAACAATTATGCTTAGGCACCACTAGCACCATAGATGAGCTATCATTATCCTGAGTTCAACTTCCCAAAATTTTGTTATGTAAGAAGTTCTGATGAACTTCTGAAGCTTAAGGTGGAAAATCCCCTGAAAGCTTAGTTCTCCAGTTCCCTGCATATACAAATTTTAGCTGCATTATATTGGACACTTTTCATTCCTGTATCAAAACTTGAGACAAAGAATCAAGCAAATTTTACACAACTATTGCATATAAGAACTATTTAGGAAAAGGTAAAGATGTCAAGAATAAAGGATAGCTTTACGTTTTTCTTATTTTAAGAAAAAACCAGAAGCATATTTTTGAAAGAATCCTTTTAGCATTCTATATTGTTTAGGCAAATTGAAATGGAGAAAATAATAGGTTCCAATCCATGTTTTAACCAATGGGTTAACTAGAGATCAGTTTGGAATCTGGTAGAGTCAGCCTTTGACTTAGGCTCAGGAAAGTCATTATCTGACTTGATAATTGAACTGGGTTTTTTATAGATCAGAAATCCACTCAAGTCATTTTTTAATTTAGTAAAACAGCTTTATTACTCTATTTTTAAATATTTCCCTAATTCCTATATTTTCCTGTCTTTTTTATTTTTCTTAATTATATATTGATGCAAATTAACTTGGATGGGTTACCACTCTACTAAATTCAGCAGCTTTCTGAGTCAGCTGATCCTTTGGGTTTTAAAACATTGGTTCTGAAATCCTAGGCATGTCCTATGCCACTACAACTTATAGACACTCAAGTCTACGCATACATAACAATAACATACTGTTCCCATAAACTAGGGTCTGGCTCAGACCAACAGATTGTAAAACCCAGATAGCTTAAAAGCTTGTAATAGAATGAACCCAGAACACTTCTACATCATCTTCTTCATAATTAGATTGGTTCTCTTACCATCATGATAGGCAAGAAAAATGGGATAACTAATGGGTTATGAAACCAATATTTAGGTCAATGTTGAATTACAGAAACATCATTAAGTTCAGCCTTACTTGGGCTCTTTCCAACAGAACCTCATTTTTAGATTTAGTGTGTACAGTAATAATTCACCAAGTAGGTATAATAATAAGCTCCATAACAAAAGATCATGAATAATCTAATGATAATAAAAAACAGACATTGCAGAAGCAAGGCTGCCAAATATAAATCACCTAGAGACTGCCTTTTGGAACCTAACCCAACCAGAAAGAAGAAAGAAAAAGAAAGCGAAAACTTCCAACTTTAACTTTACATTGAATTTGGTTCTATTTTGAATGCTGAAATAAATAATGAGCAATAAAAGATATTTTTTCAAAGGAACAACGCGAACATAATAAATAATGAATTCCAGTATTTTATATAGTCCTTGCATTTTATGTTATGTGTTTCCTACAGAAACAGCAATTAAACAATGAATCTCCGTATACAAGCAAACCTAGCACCTAAAATAATGATTTTCAATATTTCACATTGAACACTAAATAAATGGAATTTTTATATGTGCAACTTTAATTAATATTAATTTCCAATTGCAAGATAAGGAAAATATAGTGCTAAATAAGGCCATTGGCCTATGTTGGTCAAATCTATCCAGAGTCTTGGGAGGGGTGAACTGGATACAGACATAAACTTTTGGCACTTTTGTCTCACAAAGTGGCCATTCTCAGACTCAAAAAGCCTTCTTTCTTACATTTAGCCAGTCCATAACTACACCAATTCCAATACTGTGCTCAAAACAAGATTATCAAAGTTGGAAGCATCTAAGCCAAAAGACAAAGTATCCATAGAAAGCTAGGTGTACAGCTTCTTTTCTATATGCCTAGGTGTAATACAATTAGCAATCTGGAAGGAATCTAGTTGCCTAAGGTAGCCTACATGGAACTTTGACAACTGTGATCGTGAAAAGAAAACAACCATTTGTCTTGGTATCTAAAACAAATCAGTTGAAGAACAGTCTGAGAACTTTAATGTAGAAAGAATCATCAATTTTAAGGGAATCAGAGCCATGCTTACTTTTATAAATTTCAGATATCTAAACTGTATTAAAAAGGGGAAAAACCTTCCAGAGATAAGCATTTACATTTCTGCCATACTCATTTTTTGGACATACTGTTTTTTAACTGCCCAAAACTCTCCATACAACATAGTTGGCTTTAAAACTGTTATATAGAACAAAGAGACCAATGCAAATATGTATCCATTACAAGTTTAAGGGTCTAGAAGAGTTGGGGGCAGACCAAAAAGGACATGAGTTGATGTAGTAAGAAATGAATTAGGGGCCCAGAAGTTAACAATGGTTATGGCACTGAACAGAGTAGAATCACAGAATGGGATTTATGTAGCTGACCCCCATTGGTTAGGACAAGACTTAGTTGAGCTAAGTTGAGTTGAGCCATACAAAGTTCAACCAACTATTAGAAAATTGCCACCACATTTAGTCACAAGTCACACTATCAATGGAATAATTAAACAAATTGCTACCAACTACTTTTGATGAGTTAAATTTCTATGGAAGGATGTGGTGCCTTGATCAGCTGTTAGCTATTGCCTTCCCTTTTTGCTATTGTGTCAAACAAAGAGGCAGTAGTCGGAGATTACATGGAGTTTGTGAGTGGTCAGGCTGTGTAGTTTCCAAGGTTCAGAAGAAACTTGAATGACTGGGAGGTGGATATGCTTCAAGAGCTGCTGAGTAGGCTGCGGGAGTATCAAATTATCCCCAATTCGTGAGATGTTAAACTGGTTGTCAACGTGTAAGGTCTGGTTGTCAACGTGGATTCGGTGTGGATTTGGAAGGTATGGATCCCATTCAAGATCATCTTCTTTGTTTGGCTAGTGACTAAGGAAAGGGTCCAGATGGTGAATGTCTTGCTAGTTCGTGGGATGAATCTCGTTGACTTGTGTAGTTTGTGTAGCTCTGCACCAGAGTCTGTCCATCATTTGTTTTGCATAGTCCATTCACTCACAAGATCTGGTCCCATTTCTTTAGGCTCTTTCAAATCAACTGGGTCCTTCCTAGATCGGCTGTTGGGTTGCTATCCTCTTGGACAGTTGTGCCGTTCTCAGCCCAAGGAAAATTTCTCTGGAACTTTCTTCCCTTTGCTCTTTTCTGAGCAGTCTGGAAAGAGAGGAACAGCAGAACTTTTGAGTCCAAGTCAGCGCCGCTTGAGGCAGTTATTGGTAAAATTGAAAGGCTGTTAGTGAATTGGGCAGCCTGTTTAAAACTTTTTGTGGGTGTTGCAGCCAATTCCTTTTTGATCATTGGCTTTCTATATTTTTTTGAGCTTTTTTGTAAAGATTGTGAATGTATATCATCTGTGCGTATTGAAAGAGGCACTTCATTTTGTATTTGGGCTTGTGGGCTTCTCAACCCCACCCTTCTTTTTGATTTATAACACGTATTTTCTTCATCTTTCAGAAAAGCAAAGCTACCAACTATTAGAAGTTTAAATCTATTTGGTTTTATACAACTGAGATTATCAAGTCTAACTTCTTCCTTAGGAAATTAATGGACAATTTAAGGTATAAAGGCAGAAAACAATCACATGGTGTTCTACTCTTCCTTGACTTGAAGAAAGAATGATATAAAGTTTTTATCCAGATATTTTTGTTGGTTTTTGGGAAAGAAAGAGGTTTTAAATTGGCACTTGTTTTGACCAAAAATATAAGGGAGAAGTAACTAATAAAAAATTTATTACTAACAACAAGGTAGGCTTCTCTTTAAATAGGTATACATCAAGATTTGTCAATTTGACAGATGAGTCAACAAATGCCACAGATGATGTTGGTCTACTGTGCTGGAAAACATACATTGTCATTAACTTGTTATTAATAATTCAGCAGCAGTTAACTTCTCCATTAAAGCAAAAATAAAAACCGACCCTAGTACTCTTCAAAGACTGTCTGCTAAGAAGCCTGCCTCACACAGATCTAGTTAACTTCTCCATAATCTTAAATGATTACAGACAAGTAAACTAGGAACTAGGAACATATAAGATAAGGTATTATAGTTTATGCTGTTTGCATCTAACACAGTTTTGATTGATGAGACTAAAGCCAAAGGGATAGAATCAAAAGGAATAACTATATACCATAGAGATTCCCCAAAACAAATGCTTTTAGAATTTTTATTTTATTATCCATAATAAAGAGAGATGGAAAAGGATATTATCTTAAAATTAGAGCCGAGTGTATACAGTACAGATGTGTCTCAAGTTACACAATTGGCATATACCACTAATACTGAAATACAATGGTTATAAGCTTGGCCATTGTTTAAAGAGCAAATGCTGCATCAAACAGACAATCCATCTATAGTATTAATGTAAGGCATATAATGACATTGAAAGAGATAATTATCAAGGCTAAAATGGTCACTATATATAGATGGTTTATCATGTTAAATGAGACAAAAAATGCACAAGCAAGAAGAGTGGTTTGGTGTAAATTGGATGTCCTAAAAGGGTAAAGGTTAAAGGAAAGGGTATAAAAGATTTATGTTTACAATACAGGAAAAGAATTAATAGAATATCTTCAATAAAAGTAAAGTCTTGGATAGAAGAAACATAAAAGTAATGTTCATACTTTCAACTCCACTTTGGTAGTTTGGTGGGATGAGGATGATGATGATGAACATATTATTAAGGTGGAAATCAGAATATAATTATTTTTTGATCAGTGACAGAAAAATTCATTAATTAAATATAAGAGAGTACAAATGAGCTAGGAATTTCCGAAGCCACTCTTTTTGGATTTACAAATTCATCCTGATTACAACTCAGCCCAAAATAGTTGTTCCCTATTAACCCCTTGCTTGGCCAAAGGATCTTCCATTCCATTAAACGGTTCTTCTTATCCAATTAAAAGTAGCTCCTACAAATCAGATTATAATTATTTCTTAGATCCATTTGCCTTGGATGCTTTTTTTCTCTTCTGAGTTTCCTGGAGTTGATTCCATTAAATGCAGATGTTATCCCTTTTTTCTAAATGCATACAAAACATAAAGATATTTAGCTGAGGTGCAAATCAGCACCTGGCTTCTTAAAGAAGTATCAACAGCCTGGTGCTTCAATTTCATGATGACATGAGCAAATCCAGGGACTGATGTTCCTAGTAGTTAGGACTACATTGACAACAGAATTAACCCAGCCAACTATTGTGTTAAGACATATGAGCTGGATGGACTGACAAGAACATGCTCAGCATCTCAGACACTATCAGATCAAACCAGTTCGACCAAACAGCTTAACCTAACTACCTTGCTGGACCCTGTTCTTGTTTGATGCCCAGACAAGTTCTGTTAACAATGCAACTTGTAACTCTACTTCTTTCCAAGTTTTTGTGATAGAAACCAATGTCAACCCACTTCTCGAGACTTTTCCAACATGAGAAAAGAATTGAGCTAATGACAATTACCACAAAAAAGGAACAGCAAAATCAGAATTTGATCAAACACTCATTTCATCTGGCGGGCAGCTAGCGAATAACTAAACTACATTGTTACCATAAAGTTGCCAAGATCACTCACTAAAAATCAAGGGTTCTCAGTCTAACCCCTGCCTTAATAAAGTGTGGTAACTTAAGGTATTTACAGTCATCAGAACCATAACACTGACGCCTTCTGTTTGCTCAGAGAGAGTATATAAACCAAAAAACAGCACAAAAGATCATAAATTTAAAGAAAAGGAAAAAAGAAATAATTCTGCGAACTTTTAACAAACAGAGAGTACCCAAGTTAAAAAAAAATACAGGAAAACAAAGTCAAAGTGAAGAACATAAGCCAGAAAAGCACAGAGACATCCTGCAAACGCCTAGAAGCAATTTTTGCAGGCATCAATCAATCTCGCCTGTGTAGACTGTAGAAGGCATTTGACAAAACAAAACAAAAAACCCGGAAACGGAAAACAAAGAGCAATCAAATACAGAACAGAAATCAGTTACCTTTGCATCCGAATTCCCTTCCAAGCACACAGAGCATCAAATCGAACGTTTCCTTCTCTCCATTTTTTGAATCCTATGCCGAGAAAATAATTTTCTTTTGGAGTCCGGATCGGCAACTCACAGGGAGATGCGCCTCACAGGGAGATGCGGGTGAGTCCAATAAGAAGATGACACGCGACCAGGAAAAGCGTATTTTGGTCAATACATGCGGGGTAAATGAGTGTTTCAATTAGGTGACCAGATAAAATGACGAAACTGCCCCGTAAAGTATAGATCACAGTTTGATTAATCCAAGTAAGTGATTTAGGCCGTTGATTTGGAGCCTAAACGTGTTCTCTGATTTGGATGCACCAATGGTACCAGATGCTGCTTATCAACTCATCAACTAAACAGCGTTGGGATAAACAGAACGCGACACGCGTCCGGATGAGGGTATTTTGGTCAATGAAAATGAATACTTTAAAAGCAATATTTGTACTAGTGGTCTGGTACGTACTCCCTTTTGCTGACCGTTCATCATATCTTTCTGACTCTTCCGTGGGTTTTACACATGGCAAATTTTGTCTCTTTGCGGTGGGTGCTCGGTTTCTGTGTCAATACGTTATCTGCACCGTCCATATGAAAGGCATGGGACCCACCAATGGATCCCATGGCCATGGATGGGAGTAGCATTGCTAGCGAATTTTGTATTTTCTATTTAAAACTAAAAAAGATGAAAAATATGCTACGCATGGGATTTACGAAGGGGAAAGTGAAATAATCAAAACATATGCCTTTAAAAAAAATAATCAAAACTTATAACAAATGAAGTATTTAAAATAATTAAATCTTTATTTGTTAGTGTTTTATTTTATTAATGATTAGATTTTTCAATTTTTTGTAAATATTACTTAAATATTTAAATATCAGTAAATATATAAAATTAGACTATAGTTATAATTAAATTAATCTATAGTTAACATTTTTAGTCATAATTAAATTAATCTAAGCCTGAGCTCAAGGTTTAACACTTTGAATTAGGCTTGGATTGATTTCCATCCTAACCAACGTTTCAAAATTTGATACAATACACCCGTAATGGGGTGTATCGTATTGTATCTTTAAAGGTCCGGTACAACATGAGGTGGAAAATCAACGATATCATCCTTTTTTCACCATATCGGACTGTTTGGACCTTATCGGGGGTGTATCAAAGGTGTATTGGTGGGTGTATTGGGGCATATCAGGGGTGTATCCAAGGTGTATTGGGGGGTGTATCGAGTGTACTGATCGATACACTATGAAAAAGATACGTCCAAAAATTGAAAAAAAAATAATAAAGGGAGAAAGCAAGCTTCTTTCCCTTGAAAAGCCTTCTTTCACCCCTAAATGACTTTAAAACTCTAAACATCATTCATAGAGTGCTAAATATGCAAAAATTTGCAAGAATCAAGTGTGATTGTTAATTTTTTTTTTTAAGAATTTTCAAATTTTGAAAAAATATGGCAAAATAGGTAAGTTTTTTCATTTTTTATAATATCTTGTGATTTTTTTCTTGAATGTTTAAATCTATATTGATCTACATCTCTTATATTCAAAATTACAATTTTTATTTTGTGTTATGAATAGATCTATGGAAATTTCATGAAGATATTTGGGGAAGATATAAATTAACAAAAAAATTGAAAATGTAATTTCTTCTCTCCCTATAAAGACTTAATATGTTTTAGATAGATGGATCTATCTATCATATCCATAGAGCAATTGAAATTTCTTTCTTAATTATTTTTTGATTTTTTATATTTTTAGAATTAAAAAATAAATAATAATTAATTATATTTTATCAGTTGATCACAATGATTGCAATTTCTTCTTTAATAATGATTTTTTTATATTTTTAGAATTAAAAATAAATAATAAATAATTTTATTTTATCATTTGATCATAATGATTGAATATATTATAATTCTATGGATGATCTATCATATCCATAAAGCAATTGAAATTTCTTCTTTAATAACTACTTTTGAATATATTGTATAATGCTTATTTATTTTTTATTTTATAATTTTTTAAAATAAAAATAAATAATAAATATTAACTATATTTTCACTTAGAAATTGTGTCAATGCATGTTTTATGGTTGGATATGAGAGTTGGGTTTTTGCCATCCCATAAAACTTAAGAATTATAATTTATAAATTATAGTTAAGCATAGGTTTTTTAATAAAATTATAATTAATTACAACATATTTCTTCATAAAAGCATTAATATATTGATTTAATGTATGTATACCTCTTTGAGGTCTTATATTTAATGTTGTTGTTGTATTTTTATAATTTGTTGAAGTATTTATGCTGTTTCCATATGTATCTATGCGTATCTTAATTTTTCTCCAATACGTATGCATATTCAAGGCATATCTTGATATACTTGACGTTTCCAATAGTTTGAACCTTGATCCTAACCTAACCCACCCAAGTTGCATAGACTATGATATTCATTATTGGACCGAACCAAACCGAGTGCAACACATGTAGGGATTGCAATTTCATGGGAATTTTCAGGTATCCAACCCATCTTAATACTAATAGGACCGGTTTATCAAAATCCTATAGGGTTTGGGTTTTGACTTTAGGGTGTCTGATACCCGATACACAATTATAAACCCAACTTATACATATATATGGGATGGTATAATATATAGTATAAAATAATTTAAAATATATAATATATTAAGAGAAAGACTCCCTGGTACTATGGGTCTATGACAAAGACCCCTTACACATTTTTTTATGACAAAGAACCCTTAAATTTTGGCCATTAGACAAAGACCCCTATCATCAACGTTTTGTCAGATATATTAAAAAAGATTCCATTTTCGTTTTTGTGGTTATCATATCTTGTAATCCCTAAATTGTCTTTATTATAGTTTTTTGGACAATTTTACCCGTATTATGATTTATTCTTTTTTATATTTAGCTTACAGGAGACCCAGACAGAATGGATGGTTATTTTCTTTCCTTTTCTGGGAGGTGCGATCAATTACCAGGAAGCGTTTAAATTGAACAATTGAAAAAGAAGAAATAGAGCAACGCAAAAGAAAGAGGGGAAAATAGTTAAAGAGCATGTCTGTAAATGGCAATTTTTGCCACCATTTGGACAAACCTAGAACCAACCACGCAGTTTCCCGAAAGTATTTATAGACAAGCTCAGTAGGTTTGTTCTAGTTATACCATTTCTTCTTTGACTTCACAACCGATCCCAGTCCTCCGTTGTTTCTTAATCACGTTTATCACTGTAAGATCAACCTTAAAAAGTTCGCATAAGATGGACTTGGACTCAACACCAAATGAAACTTTTGGCCGACTGATAGCAATCTTATCTCTTTGGCCTTTATCTTCTTCCTTCTCTGCGGTAACCATAGAGGGGTCTGGTTTGGATTGTACGGATTGTTGTAGGATTGGAAGCATCTCTTCTCAGCACCCAAAAAAATACACCCATAACACTAGAGCTCCTCCAAGTTTTCTCTTTTCTCTCTTCTATCTGCTTACTCTGTATTTGATTGAACAAGCAATGATGATTTTCAGATCCACATAAGTCTCACTCTGAGATGGGTTTTGCATAATCTCTACAGCAACTGAGAGAGAGGGTGAATTAGTAGACTGGGAGAGGGAGAAACGGAGAGACGGGAGGAGGAGAAAAAACGGAGGGTAAAAGGGGGGTTGGGGGTTGGGCAGGTTAATAAAATCAAAGAGAGTTATGAGATGTGGCAATTTTCTGTCTCTTAGGTTCAGTTTCGAAGGAATACAAATGCAAATATATACAACTTAAATATATAAAATATAAGGTTTTGTATTCTACATATTTTTATTTATACTCCTTCCAAACTCAAACTCAGTTCCAGGGATAATCGATGTCAGCTCCCTAAACACGATTGTTCAGAAATCAGGAATTAAGAGCACAAATGTGACCCTCGAAATCGGTCTAGGTACGAAAGTCACACCAACAAGTTGTTCGAGGTCGGCAAGAAAGTAGTAGTGTTATCTTCCCTATTTCGATATATATATGTTATGCTATCGTGTTCCAAAGAGAATTTTCCATGAGGTTTGTCACTCAGCCTAGAGATAACCTCTATTGCTGCCCCTCCAGATGTTACTATCTCCTCAAAGTAGGAAAAAACAAGTTCAGCCTCCACCAAACGTAGCTCCAATCCAGTGAACCCGTGGGTTCACGGGGAGCGTGTACCCTCCAATAGGAGGTGTGCATGTCGCTTAATGGGTCTTAACTCAAAGTTAACGGGACTGCAATGTTAACGGTTAAATTGTTGATTGAATCGGCCACTAAAAGACAAAAATCAAGAAAACCCATTTGAAGCTTCGAAACAACTACTCCCTCTCTCATTCAAACTCTCCTCCCACCCCCACTCATCCAAACCCCAACCAGTGCCTACAAGCCTCAAACCACCGGCAACCAACAACTGGCATCTGACGACAAGGGAAGGGATAACCTGGTGACCGGCGTTAATCTCCTTCTCCGCCTCCTCCTCCTCCTCATCTTCTTCTTCTTCTTCTTCCTTATGATTCAATCAAAGCTTTTGCATAGGTTGGGTTTGAATTTTTTAACTTTAAGATGGGCTTGAGCTAGAAAACTCGGGCTCAAACTAAATTTATATATATATATATAATTATCTTTTACATCTAATTTAAAATATTATTAAATTCAACACCTAGTACATAGGGTTTTTTATGCTTTCCCACAATATGTAAGTTGAGGGGGTTGGGTTTAACCTAATACCATACCCTACTCGTAATGTACGGGCTGTAGAATCCTAAAACCGGACTTGCCCCAAAACCCATCCTTCAAATAGAAAACCCACCCTTTCGAGGTGGGTAGGGGTGGATACCCACCGGGTAGGGCAGAAATTGCCATCCCTAAGCCCAAGATGCTTAGTTAAGGTTGAATTGGGCCTAGGTTGGTAAACTCAGGTTTAACCTTGAATTGCACCTAGCAGGGACCTGTGGCGGAAGCTAAACAATAAAAACATATAAGAGTAGATAATTGTTTTATATTTTAACCTTTTAAATAATTAATAATTAGTTATATTTTATATACTACTTTTAATATATTTTTTACATTACAAAA